TTCTGATGGAAAATGAATCAGAAAACAGAAAAAAAACCCACTTTTTCTGATACCTTTTGGGGCTCCTCTTGGGCTTTGGAGGAACATCAGCCCATGGCAGTGTGGTTGTTGGAGGTGTGGGTTAACTCCTCCCTGGGCATTGCTCCTCCAATGTGCATTGTGCTCTGAGCACCTGCACATCTGGCTGCACATGAGCACACCTGGCACGGGCACAGTCACCCCACCTGTGGGCTGAGCAAGCTGGGCACAGGCAGCTCCCAGGAGAGAATGGCATTCCTCCTGGAGGAGAGGGAGGAGGTTCGGGTCCGTGCTGGTCCCTGCTGAGGAAGGAGCCCCTCAGCAGAGGGAATTCAGTGGTGCTGGCAGAGAGGTGCGTGCCCTGCTCCACTCCCCTGGAGCAGAGAATCTCCCGGAGCAGCCAGGCTCAGCGGGGACACTGACACCAAGGCAAGGGATGCTATCCTAATGCCACTTTCCCACTGGCATCCCAAACCCTCCGAGGTGCTCTGCTCCCCCAGGGCCTCGTCCCTGTGGAGAGGAGGATGTGAACGCCTCTGCAGCACATTCCAGGCTGTCCCCTGTCCCCTCTGCAGCCCAGGCTGAGGCAGCCCTGGCAGCCGCTCGCCATGAGACCCAGACCTGTTAGTGATTGAGCTGGGAGTATTTTTGGTTGCTCTCAATAATGCATCAGCACTGGCTGAGCAGAGCCTGGCCGTGATTACAGGGCCAGTGTCATTTGTCATCACTGTCACCCTGCTGGCTGCGAGGGAGCTGCAGGGCAGCGTGATGGCAACACCCCTGTCACAGCCCTGGGGAGCAAGATGTCCCAGCTCTGGGGACAGCCCTGGGCACTGAGTGGGGCTCTGGCCTTTGGCACCTGCAGGTCCAGCCCTGCACCCTCTGGGGGCTCAGCACAGCAGTGCTGGGCCCTTCCTTCCCCGATCCCAGCTAAACCAGGCACACAGGCCAGGCTTTCCAAGGTGTGCTCATCCCACGAGCAGCACGAGGCTTTCCCCAGTACCAGCACATTTCTCCTGTTCATGAAACATCTCAAAGGTCTCTGGGGGCCCTGTGGGACACCAGGGGTGGGACCTGCTGTGGGTGTGAGGCAGCCAGGTGGTTCTGTGTCTGCTCTTCCCAAGCAGGAAGACATGATTCAAGAGGAAGGTGAAGCAATCTTCACGTTCCCTCAATAAATATCATCAAACACCTGCTCCTGGTTTTAACTGTAATGGAGCAGCAGCAGCAGCAGTGATCTGCACAGGGATGGCACAACACAGCAGAACACAATCCTGGCATTGGGAACAGGCGTGGGAAGGGTAATGGTTAATCAGGGACAGCCAGCCTTCATTTGGATCCTTCTGTGGCTGGAAAGAGAGCCAGGCGCTCTGCGCGCTGATCAGAGTCTGCACAGCAGGCAGAGGAACCGCTCTGGCTGCAGCGCCTGCGGGATCCCTCCCGCCCGGAGCCGTGCCCATCAGGGCAGGATGCCCGAGGTCAGTGACCCTGTGGGGCCAGCGGGATCCCAGGGATGTGCTGACACTCGGAAACGTGCCGCTGGAGCGGCTCCTGCCCGCGGGCACAGCCCCTGTGCCCCCGGGCAGAAATGCAGCCCGCGCAGGGAGCGATCCCAGCGCTGCGGCCGGGATGGCAAATGATGAAGATAAAATTAAACTTTCCAACAGCATTTTTATTTCCGATCCCCCCCTGCTTCCCCTGCTGCCCATCCAAGGGGTGACGGGTGTGAGGAGTGAAGGGTGGCTCTGGGAGGTTTGCAGCTGCACCAGGCACTGCCCAGAGAGCCTGCAGTAATTTATTGCTTAATTAGCCAGCATTCATTCATTTATCCCTCCTGTAATTCCCTGGAGAGCAAGGTTGGCTGCAGCAGGGGGCTTGTGGTGGGTCTGGATTATGGGTGCAATTCCAGGAAAGGAGCCTGCAGCTCTTCCTGGGCCCTCCCTCCTCACAGGACCCGGGCCTTGCTCCCACTTCTCCATAAACATGGCTCATGTTTGGAGAGGGCCAATGTTGCCCTGTGCTCATGGGAAATGAGCCGAGCCTTGCCATGCTCCCTTTTCCCTGGTGTGAGATGGATCCCAGGGAGCTGTTGGGAAAATCACCCAAAGGATGTGGAATACAGGGGATTCCTTAGAACAGCTGCACTGCCCTGAAACCTTCCTGTCCTGCTGTTTGCCTTCCTGCAATAATTACAGAGAGGAGAAAAAAATCCCCTCCTCCTCTGCTGCCTGGCAAACATCCCAGGTCCTTACCGGGGCACGGGGCTCCTTTGCTCCCCGTTTGTGTATTTATCACATCCATAAAGCTCATTAAAATGCGTTCATTCAATGAGAGGGGAAATCAGCACTCCACACAGCGGGTGATGCTCACACCCCCCGAGCAGCTCCGGGAGAGAGGCACCACCGCGGGGCCGGGCTGGGCACCTGGCACCGGCCCCGTGTCCCCGCCGATGGCACCGGCAGCTCCTGGGGCGGGGAGTGCCAGCACCTTCCTCCGCATTGCCGTGCCTGCTGCCAGCCCTGGGGGCTGGGCCCGGAGCCCCGGCGGGCACCGTGCGGCTCGGTGTGCCCCGGGCGTCCCTACCCACCACCCGCAGCACTTCGCGCTGGGGACGGGAGGCTCTGGCCGCCTCTGCCCCTCCTGCTCACGGGCCGGGTCCGCTCTCCCGGAGGATGGAGCCCCGGGCTCTGCGCGGCAGGCAGGGAGCCCTGCAGGGCAGGCAGGGAGCGGGCACAGCCCCGAGCACAGCGCCAGCCCTGCCCGGTGCCATATGTCCCCGGTGCCCGCCGGGCCAGGTGGCAGATGGCAGGTGGGGCAGGGCTGCTCCTCCCGGCGGCACAGCCCCGTGCCAGGCACAGCGGCCAGCTCCAGTCGGGAGAGGGGAGGAGAGGGGGCTGCAGGCCCCGGGCAGCGAGCCCTGCTGCCGGGAATTCGCTCCTGCCCGGTGCAGGGTAATTCACATTGCACAGGGACTGAAACACGGAGCGCACAGCCTGATGCCTCCTGGGCTTGGGAATGGGATGGGATGGGATGGGATGGGATGGGTTGGGTTGGGATGGGATGGGATGGGATGGGATGGGATCCTGCAGAGGTTGAAGGCTCGTGCTCCTGCACAGCTCAGCCAGGACAGAGCAGGGGTTTGGTGGTGGTCGCTTGTCCCCAGCAGCCCAGGGATAAGGGGTGTGAGCAGCTCCCTGGCTGTGCCCCCTGCTCCCCTCCTCCCTTTCCCCATTTTCCTGCTGCAGGGACTGCACAGACGCCGCTTCCATCCCATCCTTCATTATCTCTGTCTCCTGGAGCAGCAAACAGGGAAATATGATTAAAGCCTCTCACAGGGAGCTCATCAGCCTGTGGGGAGGCCAGGAGCTCCCTGGTGCGGGGAGAGCCGCCCTGCTCTGCCGGGTGTCAGCAGCACGGCCGGGCTGTGGCTGCTGCTGCCCCCAGCCCGCGGTGCCCAGCAGAGCCCGAGGAGAGGCCGGGTGGGCTGTGACAGCTGCTGGTGGCGTGTGCGGGGAGCAGGGGGGGCACGAGGGAGGGTGCGGGGCAGGAGGAGCCTGCGGAGCCGCGGCCGGGGCAGCGCCGGGCCCCGTCAGCGCAGCGCTGTCAGACGCTGTGCGCTGGAACAGGCTGCCCTGACGTTAATTGCCTTTGACCCATCTGGGCCGGCGCTATCAGATCTTGGAGGTTCAGCGGCCCCGAGATGCTGGGGTGGACGGGAGGGGACAGCCCTGTCACCGTGTGAAGGAGGGAGGGCTCGAGCCAGAGGCGTGGGGCGCTCGGACCGGCCCTACTGCAGCGCGGCGCTGGTGGAGGCGGGGAGGATCCGCCCCGGCAGGGGGATTCGGAGCTGCCTCCGGGCCAGGGGGAGCTGGGCAGCCTCACTGGAGCCGGGGATTTGCTCGGTGTTGTCCGTGAGTGTCACCCTTCCTGTGCCCGTGGAAGGAACGTCTCGCTGGCACCATGGTGGGAACCGCGGCTCTGAGCCGTGCTGCTCCCCGTCCCTCTTCAAAGCAACCAGAGTTCCCTTCCCACCCCGGACAGCACATAAAATATCTGCCTTTTCCATCCCGCGCTAATGGTGCCATTTAAGATGGAAAATCGCGGAGAGGAAGTGCTGAGCCTGCAGCAGCTGATGCCATGGGAGATGCCAGGAGCTGCCTGGCTCTGAAACATCCCCAGATCCTGAGAGAGGCGTGTGGTGCAGCAGCAGCATCCCAGGGGGGAAAGGGCCCCAGGGCACCGTCCCGGGGAAAGACCCCACACCGGGCACCAGCAGGGCCTGCGGGTTCCTGCAGCAGGAGCCCGGATCCCTCAGCCCATCCCTCTGCAGAGGGGTCCCGCGGCTGCGACAGGCTCCTGCTGCCCTGCCCGGGCCGGCTCACCCGCTCTGCCCCAGGCCCGAGTGTCCCCAGGGCTGGGACAGCAGAGATGGGGGAGCCGGGGTGGGAGCCGGGGTGGGAGCGGAGCTGCAAGGGCTGGGGGAGCTGCCCGAGGATGCCAGGAGATCCCGCGGGAAGCGGGGGCCATGCCGAGGGACGCCGAGGTGATGTCGGGCGGGTGCCAGGGACGCTGGAGCGGCGCTGGGGCCGTGTCACGGGGCCCGAGGGGATGCCAGGTGACGCTGGGCGTGCCAGGGGGATGCCGGGGGGATGCCAGGTGAGGCCGAGGCCGTGTCGAGGGAGGCTGAGGGATGCCGGGGGGATGCCGGGGCCACGCCCAGGGATGCCGGGGGAAGTCAGGGGATGCCGGGGGGGATGCCCGGCTCCAGGCTCGCTCCAAGACCCCCGCCCGGCCCCGAGAGCCCGCCGGGGCGGGCGGTCCCGGACTACATTTCCCATGGCCGCCGCGGCCGGGGGCGGTGCGGGGCGGTGCGGGGGGCGCGGAGCGCAGGCGGAGGCGCGGAGAGGCGCAGGGGCGGCGGGGCCCGCTCGGCCCG